AGAAAGAGAAGAAGGTGTAGGAAGTAGAACAAGAAGAGAAGATAATGTAAATATTTACATGTAAACAAGACATGTAGACTAATTGAATTGTCTTGTGCCCTGCCCACAGTAAAACAACAATGAATACACCAAGAAGTAAAAATAGATCCAAGATGTAATCACTTAGAATAAATTCATCTTGGTACAACTTGAATTTAAGCCATGAAACTTGCTACCACAAGATTTTATTCAAATAAATAACTCAGATAGATTAGGAGGATTAAATATGGTAAACATAGTTTATATAAAAATTTTAATGCCTGGAATATGGAACAAACAAACAAAATGTCGAGCTTATAAAACTCAAATGATGCCAGCTTCCAGGGAAAACCTTTATATATTTCAGGGTGTACATGGAATTTCTTTTAATTTGGAGTAACTAGTACACCTGTGTCATTTCCCTTTTTGGGACCCTACTCTAAATCTAGCACCTTTGACTATGTCTGTGACATCAATATTCTGACACTTAAAACTTTTGTATCTTCAGCCTAACTACAGAGCTCTAACTAGAGTTCACAGCCTCCTCTACTAATGCCTTGTACGATCTTCAATTTATCCCTAATACTTTCCTCAAACCCCTTTCAAGTGGAAGCTTTCATTTCCCACGTACGCCTTAATTCAGGTCAGGAGGAGAAGGTCAGAGCTTGCTTCTGGCTCTCCACACAATCATTTTCAGGCCATTTTTCTATCATCTTTTACTGTCCTTCCTCTTTTGAATTGCTAAACATCTACAGCTACTCCTTTCCAAACAAGGTTATGACCATCTTTCAAACTCCAAGAACCCTTGAAAATGTTGACATCCAGGGCTTTGTAACATGTCCCTGGATTGAATGTTCACACTGGTTACCATCTACTATCTAGCTGTTTACCCCTCAGCAGTTCATTTTCCTGAATTCCCCAGGGCCTTGGTATCTTCTGAAAATGCTTCATATTTGAAATTCTAATCCCTTTATAGCCAATCACAGTTTACCAAACTTTGTGTACTCCACACTCCCATTAAACATACTTAATAACAGCTTGTCTTTCAGTAAAATGTTGTCTACAATCATATAGTAGATAAGCACTTAGTTTATCTTCCACTTAGCCTATAAAAGTTTACCGTGCACTTGAGTTTACAAGAGTTTGGGGGTAGGACCTGATGTACATGTACTGATGTACATGGTTCAGAAACATTGTCTGGACTCGGGCAAATTGCAAACAAGGCTATGTTCCCTCTTTATTATGTTGTGTCTTATTTGGACTTCATGGTCTACCATTTTAACTGAACTCTTGTTAACATTAAATTCCCACCCACCACATCTCCATTCATAGTTCACACCCAACCATTCATTTTCTCTGCCCTGCTCTTGGGCTGCCAACTACTACTACAGAAATATCGCACAACCATACTCCTTAGCTCATTGCTAGCTTCCTAAAGTATTTGCTAACAATCCCCCGAACACATCATGGACACTATGTGTTTTTACTGATTCTGTTCTGTCTTCCTCAGGATGCTTTTTACCTTCATTTTCCCAGGTTCAGATCAAATGCTAACTGATTAATAAGACCTACTTAAGTATCCCACTTTTAACTGTTTCTTCCTGAGTTCTTCTGTTTCGTTTCTTTTCTGTCCCAACACTCATATCATTTTACCCTAGGTCATTTCATGAATTCAGTAACATTTATAAAGTCTGAGTATTACATCAGATACTGTAATATATGTGGTAGAAGAAAGAGGAATGAGTCTTGGTTTCTGGCCTGAAGTAGTTTATGTCTTCTGGTATCTAGACTATATATAGCTTTACAATTGTGGGCACCCATGTGTTGAATTTGAGTCAATTAACTTTAATCTTGAAAAAATGGTAAAAAATTGTTTAAGTAGCTGGAGAACCATCATAAATAAAAACTTTCTGAGAGTGATAGCCATGACATCAAAGCTATGGGAGAAAAATCACCTTTCTTATAGAGTTAGCATCAGGATGACTTGTGGGAAGACAGTGATTTCCCTAATTATATAAAGTCACTCCCTAGTTACGTAGGGCATACGAGTTTTGGAGAAGAGAATAACTTTGGGTCCAGATAGACTACTTTGCTTTATTTTCAAGCCTTGTGTTGGGAAAGATGGACTTTCAAAATGCACTTTCTATTACGCATTTAAAGACAAGGTCGGGCTTGACGGCTCAGCCTGTAATCCCAGCACTTTGGGAGGCTGAGGTAAGTGGATTGCCTGAGCCCATGGGTTCGAAACCAGCCCAGGCAACTTGGCGAGACCTCGTCTCTACAATAAAATAAAAAAACAGCTGGGCATGGTAGCACGCATCAGTAGTTCTGGCTACTCGGAAGGCTGAGGCAGAAGGATCACTGGAGCCCAGATGGTCGACGCTGGCGTGGCCGTGAACATGAGTGACACTGCACTCCAGCCTGGGTGAAGGAGTGAGACTCTAACTCAAAAAAAAAGACAAGAAATGGGAATAACAACAGGAGAAATATTTCAGATAAAGCCTTCAGACAAAATTTTTAAAGATAAAAAATTCAATAGTAATAGTAAATAAAAACTCAATCATATCTGGGTCATCTGGTGGTTTGAAGACTTCCAAAGTACCTATTTACAATAGTTAATTTTAACTGAGGCAAGGAACCTATAAAAAGGAACTATGGGTAACCATGGGTAGAGTAGGTAAATGAAGAAACACAAGAGTCTCTGTTATTTATCTGGTTCCAAGGATAAGCATCAATCACAGGGATTATTTAGATGATATGCTCTAGAAGGCGCAGGCACAATAAACATCCTGGCTAGGTGCCTGGCAACCGAGCACAATAAGAATGAGGAAGGGCTCTTCTCATCACTTTTTCATGGGATCAAGTGATGGTGTTGACCTTGTGGACTGGCATCTATAAAGACACCAGGAAATGGTACACTTGGCAGAGACACTGGTGCCCCCTGGAGACTGAGAGAGTTGATGAGGGGCCAGAACAGAAGAGAGAAATGGAAGGCCCATGTGGAGATTGCAGTTGGTAGACACATCTGTTCTCTAAAACACCTTAATAGGCTCCAACCCTGGGTGAGGACAAGGGACAGTAAAATGAAGGTTATTACAGTTCATGTCACCTCATCTGTGCTCATGAACTGGAAAAACCTATGGAAATTTGGATTGCTAGTGTATGGCAAGGGAGAAGAATTAACATGACATGACAGTCCCCGTGGCTAAGTTTCCTTCAGTGACTTATGTCACTTTGAGATTGGTTAATTGTAAGTAAACTGTTGCAAACACAGTTGTGGGAGGGCTCTCTGAGTTAAAGTGAAGAAGAAAACAATGGTGAGAAGAGCTTTAATTATGGTTGACTCTTGGTAATTCCAAGAGGATTATCCAGTTTGTGTGTCACTTGAATCCCTTGCCTTTTACCTGCAGATCATTTCACCACTCAATGGTACTTTATATTTTCAGTAGGTAGGGAGCACAAAAATATGTCAGCTCACTCTCATCCATTAACACTGCAATTAGAATACAAAGAAAGGAAATTCATTTGTAAGCTTAAATTTTATTTATTAACAACAACTTTCTCCATCAGAAAGTTTATTGCAATTTCTAGATAAAAAGCAAATTTCAAGGACTATCTTTGACTTTATTTTTCTCTACTATTATATTAACAATCCATAAAAAATCATGGAAGTGAGCAGTAACTATCTGATTTTGCATAAGCTGACAGGTTGCACTACTTGAGAAAGAGACAAAGCTACACAAAATAGAGAAAAAAAGCAATAGTAAGATTTTGGTATCTTCTAATTCCAATAGTTTTTTTTTTCAATAGAGGACCCAGTCATTTGAGTTAACATTGACTGTATTTTGGAAAATATTCAGAGGAACCCAGTTTGCAGTGACTTCTGTGCACCACAGATGAAAGTGGATGTGACATACAGCTCAAACTTGTGATACTGAAGTCAAGACTGTAATGCGTCGTTGCCCTGTGTGGCATGTTCTGATCACAAAGGTATAAGCAACCAATTGATCTCAACCTACCTTTTCTTATAACTGACCACTTTTCAAGAGGCAAATCCACCTCAAAAAAACTATAGCCTGTATTATAGTAGGGAGTATCTGGGTGGTGCAGACATGGCTTTCCATTGCTAGGTCAAAAGGGTGGAGGAGAGGTTGGCAATGTGACAAGAATAAGTATTCCAAGTTTCAGTTCCTATCTGAAGCTACTTAGTTCAGGTAAGCATCTAAAAACAAACAAACAGGTGAGATAACCAGCCCAACGTATATATATCTGGAAAATTTCAAGTCAGTGTAAACCGGGAAAAAGAGGGAGCAGGGAAGGATGGAAAACAGTACAAAGGGAAGCCAATTAAAAGTTAGGGCTCCAGATGAATATCCAAGAATGAAGAATCACCAAAAACAGTGTGCTAAATTTTATCTTAGATCCTTATGCCAAGCAAATTTACACAAGATAGGACTGAAAGAAAGGAGGCTATAAGAGATCAGTGACAAACTGCAATAAAATTTCACACTAAACTCACCAGGTCACTGCTGTCACTGCTGTCTTGTTTTAGTCTATTGTCAAAGTAGACTAAAGTTGACTAATGTGCCCTCTTACAGAGGGGTCTGTTTGTGCCAGACTGAGAAATATTGTTAAAATGTGTCTGTGTAGTTGCATTAAACCATTGTCATTATAAGAAACAGAGATGGGAAAATTGTTTCTTCAAATCTGATTCACATACAAACTGCATAACCACATAACAGCTACCTTAGTCAGATACTATTTTGAAATATTATTTTTAACTACCTGGTTGGAAAGCTAAATGCTTATAAGTTTCTTTAGAGACAGTACTTCACATGAGTCACAAGGAAACCATTCCAAAAGCTAGGTCTACACATCAATGAACAGGTGTCTGGACAGGGAGCAGACTGTCCTATGGACTATCTTTAAATCCTAATTCTCAAGTTTTAAGAGCACATTTTTTTTGTTCAGAAATGCTTAATTTGGGTAGTGGTAAATGAGATACCCACCTTACCTCCCTTTTGTCATCTCCTTAAGTGCATGGGGAAAACACAAAGGGCTGGACAGTCTTGAGCAATGTGCAAAAATTTTCTTTGTAAGAATTGATCACTTAGCGAAAGGAGAAAAGATTCTCATTACTACTTCTGTGTATCAGATGCTAGTGTGAATACATTGCTGATTTGCATATTCAATTATTGATTTGCATCATTGCTGCTGTGTTCTGTTGTAGGTGAGAGGTAAATTCACTACTGAATTTCAAGGAAGATGTAAATGGCCAATAATCATGCTCAAAGACCCAAAATCTCTCTAGGTCACTTCCTTGGAGGGTTTGCTCTTCTGGTAGAGTAATCTATATCACCACCTGCAAATCTGCTTTAATTTGGGTGCTTCTGGAAGGAGCACTGGGACCCCTGTTTCTTCCATGGGCCATGTCTCTCAGTCCTCTTGGTCTTACTTTGCTTCCTACTTTTACCTCTGCCACCTGTTTATCTTTGTCTCAGGGTCCCAGGTCTTCCATCATTATAACCTGGTGTCCGAAATAGATCAATACACCATGTGCCATCATCCTATCTCTGAGGCATTTGATTTCTTTATGCTTTTTGGTTGACTTTTAAAAACTTATGAAATATGTGTACACATAAAGGTGTGCTCTGCATATACTTATACTTTAACAATTAGAATGTTGCCAGAACCTCTAAAACCTCCCTCCCCATTCTTAGACCAACAAAACCTCCCCTCCCACTAGAGGTAACTGAGGCAACAATTTCTTGGCTTAGTATATCCATGTATACGTCCTTAAAAATTCAATTTTGCTTGGCCTGACATTTTCATGAAGGGAATTATACTATGTATATATTTTGTCTATTTGGCTTCTAATCCTCACTACCATCAGCTATGTTGAAGCTTATGTCTCCTCTCATGGTGATTTCAGACATCATTGAGTAGAGGAGAGAGTATTTTTGAGGTCAAAAGTCTCTTCTAGTGTGCTTTAAGATGGTGACAATTGAGTAAATGACCCTGTGCTGGTGTGGAGCATGATTTGGGGGTATACCAAAAAAGCAAAGGTCTTGTGAGAACCTCTGAGAATTGTAGATGAAGGGAAAAAATGTTTCCCAGTGAACAGTCAACACAGACTGAGGGGATTAAATCATTACAGCTAATTTCATTCACAAGTGAGCTATAAAGTGTAATACAGTATGCATTTCACAGTATAATCTTTGTTTAGTCTGTAGTTAATAATTATCACATTTTTATGTTATTTGTTTAGCTTTCCACGTTCCTATCACTAATGTGATATCCTTTCCCATGTGTTCATTATATTCAAACACATCTATTCTGCTATAGCATATTCACCTTAGAGAGTGTCAGATGGCAAGTATATTCCATTTTAGCATTGTTATGCAATTAAAATAAAATCAGGATGGGCAAACACTTGCAGGAATAATGCGTAAGAAATGCTAATAATAACCCTTTTCTTCCTGAGAGAAGATTATCTATCTCCCCCAGAGTATTCCTCAATTCCCAAGGCAAATACAGTGCTGCTGATTATGTACATATATATACGTATATGTGTGGTGTGCATGTGTGAATACAATTGATCTGAATTTTTATTTTATGGATAAGAAAATGCCCACTCTGTTCTCTAGCACTTTGCTTTCTTCACATTCCTAGGACTGCACTGATATTCCTCTATGACAGTTAAGTTTATAGATGCTAGAATATGACTCCTTGAGGGTGGGGCTGTTCCATATTTCACATAAAATACCAAAACTGGAGCAAGAGGAATCAAACAAACAAAAATCAATAATCAAATTTCCATTTGTGAAAAGTGCCAGGTGTGTCTTATTATAGGAATGCCTACATCTACTATATAGAAATAACACATGATATCAGATATCAAGTTAAGTAAAATTTCATGCTCAAATTTGTTTCACTAAAAATACCTATCTTGACTAGTTTGAACTGGAGCTATAGCTAATATTACACAGACTTCTTTTAATTTGCTCTGTAACGAACCTGAACATATTTCATTTTAATGACATTATTTAAAACTATCATGGGCATCATAAAAGGAAATAGGGAGTGTCTCAGTCAGAGGCTTTAAATTTCAGAGTAATGCTCGGAACTCTTTCAGACTCACCCAACCAGCTGCTAACTTCCTCTATGAAGACAGTAAGGTAAATATTTCTGAAGTCCATAGTTAAAGTCTGGCCAGGCACCGAAAGAGAGAGGAGGAGAAAGAGAGAGAGAGAGAGAGAGAGGGAGAGAGAGAGAGAACAGAGAGATGACAGAGAGAGAATAAAGAGACAACAGAAAGAGAACACAGAGACAACAGAGAGATGAATGAATCTTGGTTGTCTCTCTGAGACGTTAAACTCATGAAACAAAATTGCTGCTTGGTCCTGTTTTTCTCTTCTCTACCTTATAGATCGTCTGTGACTGATTTTAAGCAGTGTCATGTGAGAATAGTATGCACTGCAGGAAGAGGATTAGATATCTGCTGAAAAGTTTATGTTCCATCCTTAAATAGATAGATAGGAATTCTGTGCAAATATATATTCTATAATTTCAGTGTTCATTTTTAAGGTATCTTAAAAACTATAACTATTTTTCTTAGTACAGCCGAAATTATCCTAAAATTAGATAGTATTTTTTTCAAGCATTAAAGGCACACATTTTATGAGTTAGGTATAATAAGTTAAGATCTATTTAATAGTATCATTATAATTGCATGTTTAATAGAATGTGTTTTGTGCTTAGTTTTGATTATGTTTTATTTTACAAATTACTCTTCTTATTTTTTAATATGGTAAGAACATATCTATTTTTTTGTTGTTTTGACACAAATAGTATATTGACTATAGGAAGAAAAGGGTAAAAAATGTTCCCGGATTTAAATATACCATAGTAAATCTTAATAAACTTCAGACTGCCATGATGTTTTAGTTCCTCAAGTCTGAAGTTTGGGACTTAAAAATTGTCATGAAATTTTTGCTAATTTGTGTTAACTTGAAATTATAAATTTTGTAGGTTACACATTTGTATGTTAAGCTAAAATATTTATGCAAGAAATATACCAATATGGTATATTTTAGTGAGAAAAAAATTAAATCCAAGTTATTTTATTATTTGAAAAATGTTCCTCCATTGTTACATCCGGACAATGGCATATTGTGAAGTATCATACTGACATCTTCTATAGCATTCATGTAGTTTATTTTTCTTTTCAATTGCTTTCGAAATTTAACTGGGGCTCAAGTCAATTAATAGTTGTTGGGGACTTCTTTGAATTTACTTTTGTTTTATTGACTTATTTTTAAGTTGCTATGAAAGTATTTATAAGAAAAAGAAAAATTGCAACTTTGGTACCAAGTTAATTTTTTATTAATTTGTTATCTGATGGAACCTTGAGGTATTAAATAGTCAACAGTCTTAAATATGGTTGTTTATTTGCCAGTGAGATTCAACTTTATATCAGATGAAGAGGAGCAAATTTTGCTTTTATTCCTGGAAACCAGAATACACCTGCATAGAGAAAGATAATATAAACAATTATGTGAAGTGGGACATATTTTTGCTATTTATTTTTAGCATACATGAACATGTCTGTAGAAGAGTATTTAAGTAGCTACTATTTAATTTCATCTATCATTTTAAGAGTTATGGCTTGAGAATTTATAATTGTCTAAGAATGTCTTGGCTCATGTTTGTCTGTAATGACTTTTTTGCTATTTTTTCGGGTATGCTTTCTCTGTCATAAAATTTACCTAAGCCAAAGAAATCGTGTACCATGTCTCCCGAATGAACACATTCTCTTATAGCTTCTCTTCCTCTCAATATTTCATGATTATTTCATGGCTAGTTCACCATGGAACCAGGATGAGTAAACATTTAGAAAAATAAAATTTGTGATTGTTTATTAGAAAATAATTAAATATTAATATCCAATAATATAAAAGTGAGGTTTTTTTAAAAGGGATAAAATAGTTAGACATAATTTGTAAAACAACAAGAAGAATTAGGACAAAGCCATAGAGAAACATTCCATAAAGTTTGTTTTTGCACTTTGGGGTATGATACTACTAGATAGCCTCCAGATTCCCATCAGACCACACAGGCAAGTTCTTAACAGGGTGATTGAAAATTTTTCCAGGTCTTATTTTAAAGGCTGTAGCCCACATTTTACAAATATAGTAAAATATACAATACTCTATTAAATATAATTTGCACTGTAAATATTTTGAAGGAATTATTATGCTTTGTTTTTGAAGTTACTTTTCTTTTTAAATTTTCTCTTATTTATTTATTTGTATCAGAGTTTCACTCTGTCACCCAGGCTAAAGTACATGCTCAGAGCTCACCACAGACTCAACCTTTTGTGCTCAGAGGCTCTTTCTGCCTCATCCTCCCAAATAGCTGGGACTACATACTTGCACCACCACATCCAGTTAATTTTTAATTTTTTTTGTGGAGACAGTCTTGCTATGTTACCCAGGTTGGTCTCGAACTCTTGGGCTCAATAAAGCCTCTCTCCTTGGCTTTTCAAGTGCTGGGATTATAGGCGTTGAGCCTCCATGCTGGGCCTGAAGTTACTTTTCTAAGAATGATTCATTTTATTTACTAGTGTTTGATTTTCAGAAATCGCCATGAAGTCTTGGAAATTTTTTTAGAAGGGAGAGAATGTAGCAATACTTCCCCCTAAAATACATAAAATTCTTACGACTATTAATTTAACGTAAAACATCAACATGTTTTATTTTCATACATTTAATATATAGGCTCATTTTAATCTCATTTTATATATTTTAAAAGCAATACTTATTTTAAACTCTAAAATATACTCTGAATTCTTAAAAAAATCTGGGGACCTTCAGCACTGCCAATATTACTCACTGTATAAAGCTGCCATGTGTCTACCAGTTCCCACCTTGCGCCCCCTCCCCCAACTTTCATTGTTCCTTCTTTCCTTTGCTACCAGGAGGTTTTCCCTTTATTCCAGTCACCGCTGCCATTGTTCTTTATCCTGTGCTACTTTCATTAGATATAAAATCTATATACTTTTTTCTGGTTCCTTTTTTTTTTTCTTTTGAGTTGGAGTCTCACTCTGTCGCCCAGACTGGAGTGCAGTGGCCGCTCCCAGCCACCGCAGCCTCGACCTGCCAGGCTCAGCGATCCTTCCACCTCAGCCTTCCGAGTAGCCGGAATTACAGGCATGCGTTACCAAGCCCGGCTGATTTTTTGATTTATTGCAGAGATGAGGTCTTGCTGCCCGGGCGGGTCTCGAACCCGCGGGCTCAGGCAATCCACTCACCTCAGCCTCCCAAAGGCGTGGGATTAAAGGCTGAGCCACCGAGCCCAGCTTCTGGTTAAGTTGGAAAAGAACATAGATATTCTGCTTGGAGTAAAGAATGTGTGGGGTGTGAATGATTTTCTCACTCTGTGTTCCTGGGGTGTAACTGAGAAATGGGACTTATAATAAATTACAGGTAGCTGAATTTGACCCTGAAGAAAATCATCATTTATGGCCTCATGCCTCAGTGGTGTTCTCTGAATTGGGAATTCCCAAGTGCAGTGTACAGTTTCCTCAAGAACACCCTTTCTGGAAACGTTCAATTCGTTGTCTCTTAGGACAGAACAGATTATTATCATTTTATGGAGAATAATAAATATACCAGCTTCAATTCGCCAAATGTCTACAATGGGCCAGGCATTATACTAGAATAGTTGCTTCTTATTTTAATTTTTTTTGTGTGTTGGAATCTCACTCTTGTCACCCAGTCTGGAGTGCAGCAGCATGCTGGCGGCCACTGCAGCCTCGACCTGCTGGACTTAGGTGATCCTTCGCCTTAGCCTTCCAAGTAGTTGGAACTACAGATGCTTGGCTATGTTTCTTAATTTTTAAACTCAAGTTCCCATTTGACAAAATAAAAATTGAAAAAAAGTATCAATCTTATTTGTAATTTTAAAAGGCATCAAATATTTGTGAGGGTAAAAAAATCAATACATGGCACTTTAGAATATCTTTTGTCAGACTACATGTATTTTGCTTTTTGTCACCGTCTTCGTCTCCCAAACATTCTCCCCAAATGCCTTGATAGTGTGGTGTGCTCCTTTGTGAGGTGAAAAGTAGAAAGATGGATACGAGATACTATACTTAGGTCCCTCACTGAATAAGATGAAACCTATAAACTCAGAGAAATTAAAGGCTTGACTCAGGTGACACAACTATTAGTTACAGGGTTAGGAATAGGACTGGGTCTCCTAATGGTTCATGATTCTTGGCACCTGCCACTGTATCAGATGTAATACCATGAAGTATTCAAGGAAAATAATTTGAAAAATCCATGTGCGTTTGTTTCATTTTAGACAAATATAACTATATTTGGGATCTGTTTGAGTTGTGGTGGAGAAAGTCTGCAAATTTCATGGTGGCAGCAGCCCTCTATATTTCAGAAAAACACTACCCACAATTCAAAGATAGTCTCATATTCATCCTCGATTCTAGGTTCTCCAGCAAGCAATATATCTCTGTGCTAAAGAAAGTCTTTTGCATGTTTGTGATGCATAGTATTATAATATTTTGCATTCAAAAAATCATAAAATGGTCTTACATGAATCAATACACTTATTGCACCAAGGATGCCATAGCTGAAATTAGGATGATCCCCCACCCCCCAAAAAAAATTTAAATGTGTCTGAAAGCCATAATGGAAATATATAAAGCATTGAACCTCCTTATTCTAACATTTTATTAAATTATAAATGGTTTAGAAAGAAAAGGATATAGTGTCCTAAATAGCTGTCTGATGTTATAATATTCACTTTACTTTAATCAGAGATTTCACTCCATTTTAGTGTAAATATCTAGGACTATTTGAAAAGTAGTAAACCCCATGAATGTGTCTGCTTGGGACTTGAAAATAGAGAACATTCAAATGACACAGGATGAAAATGTCATATCAGGAATAATCAGGAAGCTACCCTGCATATGAATATGAGAGCAAAGGTGGAAAAACTGAACTAAAAAACATAAATGTGAGAAAAATTAATGTATCATGTTTTTGCCAGAAGGGGTAGTTTTAGAGTGGTAGTAAAGGGATGCTGAACCAAAGGAACATTTTCCTTTTGACTATGAGTTATCTGATATTACACCCAAGGCTGAAGACACAAAGTTTTAAGTAAAAAAAAAGAACATAAAATCTAGAATATTCATAGAAAATGTATATGAAACAAATTTCATTCTCTCATTGTTCTCTAGGCTGCACTCCATTTCACAATGGCCTCCCTTGCTGCAGCAAATGCAGAATTTTGCTTCAATCTGTTCAGAGAGATGGACAACAATCAAGGAAATGGAAATGTGTTCTTTTCGTCTCTGAGCCTCTTCACTGCCCTGGCCTTGGTCCGTTTGGGTGCTCGAGGTGACTGTGCTTCCCAGATTGATAAGGTCAGTCTCAGCTTTTGCAATTAATTATTAGAGCACGTTGTTTTCCCCAAGAGAGTATTTCAGTGTAATGGTCCCATGTCAACCAATGGAGGCCTTCATGAGGGCACAAGGAATCGCATCTTCACACATCTCTATGGGCCACTCTCCAAGAGTGAAGAAAACACACAGCCTGCAACTCTCATTTTTGCACCGGGAGGCAGCAGAAATATTCTGAGAACTGTAGCTTTGATTCTTTTCCTTAGTACAGTGGTTCCGAAAGTGTTTCCCAGGCTGGGTCCATCAATATCACCTGGAGAACTTGTTAGAAATGCAAATTCTTGGGCCCCACCCCAGATCTACTGAGTCAGAAGCTATGGGTGTGGAGCCCAGCGATCTGAATATTAATAAGCTCTCTAGGTGCACACTAAAGTTTGAAAACCATTGCCTGAGTAGATGGGGAGAGATAGGGCAGCTAAAAGGAGATTCCAATGACATTCTAGTTTAAACACTGGTTACCTGGGCACAAATGACATAATAGAACATTCCACGTAATAGCAGCCTAACTAAATGGCCATCACATTGTCACCACTACCATCTTCACGACGACATTTAGCAAATGCTCGTCAAGGCACCCTTGCACACAGCTCTGGGCCAGGCTGTACAGGAAAGCGAAATAATCAAGGTTTTTTTGCCAAGGAAATTCAGTAGCTCAATAGCAGGTGGGATACATGGTTCAGGCTGCATGCAGAGGCCCTGATGCTATCCGTGTCTGCCTCTCACCCTATTCCTGTCATTATTTTAGTTCGAAAATGAATGCTAGAGGATAGTGGTGCCTCTTGTAACCCGTCAAACCTCAGTACTTATTGAAGAATATTTGTGCGGATAATTTAAATTAGAATAATTCTTTTCTTTCTCTGGATAGCTAAGTTTTTGCTGGGAAACAGCTACAGAGTCTAAGGCTGTCATTTTTTTCAAAAACTAGTGGGGTTTACAACCCAGTATATAGAAAACCTCCCTTTAATGAGACGATAGTAACAACCAGCTGCTGAGAACCTCATCTGTGTTAGGCTCTGGGATAAAAACCTAAAAATATGATCTCATTTGATAGTGACAATAGCAACCTGAAAAGGCATTATTATCCTGATAATAATAAGGGACTGTCATGCTAGCTATGTGCTAGTAGATGACAAATCTGTGATTCAAACTCAAATGTGTTCATTCATCAATAAAGATACATAATGTTTTATATCCAAGGGAAGCAACTTGCTGACATGGAGACAGCACTGTTCTGGGAGGTAGAAGATTGGATCGAAGTTATGACCTTGGGAAAATGACTTCATCTCTGTGGGTCTCAGCATTCTTGTCTGTACACAGAGGGAGTTGATTCAATGTTAATTTAAAAAAGAGAAAAAAGTTTTAAAGTTGTTCAATGTGCTAGATAGACAATAATGGGCAGGCTTCATGCCTATGACTAAGGCTTGCCTTTAATACAACAGAAGACAGAACTCTTATGCAGTGTGGTTTCCTGTCAGGGATATTCTTCCAGCTATTGCCTGTTGCATCTTCTGAGGTCTCTTTGCCCCACACCTCATGTCTGGTAGACCAGGGACCAACCACGCATGGGAGATGGGTCACAGTGACTTGAAACAACTGCTACTCCTGCTGAACTCTACTCTTTAATATCTAATTACTTTCACACATGACTTTTTGTAACCCTTGGAATTATTACATTGCATAAAAAATGTAAGAGAAAAAAAGACTCCTAGAGACACAAAAGCATTAGCATCATTCGTGTACAAAATTTTAGTTCTTTGCAAATGCTTCTTGGAAGTTAATTTTCAGCTTTACCCCTGCCCATTTAGTTTCTCTTTACAACACCCGTCCTTTATCACCACGGATCACGCATTTATATTTTATATAAATCCAGGATCAATCAATCTAGTTACAATTTGCAGCTACTATCTGTGTGTCTCTTTTAAGCATTACCATGGATCCATTTTTTGTTTGTTTGTTTTCTGTTTTTCTTTTGATGCTCAAATCGTCACAGTTGGGCAATTAGAAATCCCTTTAATCTGTCCTTTTTAAACAATCTTTCCCAATAATTCTAAAATATTTTTGCTCTCTGACAAAATGTACCGGGCTTCCCATGCGTTATCTTGGCTCTAAGAAGGGCTTAGTTAAACTTTGTAAAAGCTCCAACTCATCAGCTGTATGAAAATAAAGAATCATCGTGCTCGCAATTTGAGTGAAAGTTCCAGAAAAGTGTATTTATTTACAAAGTCAAGAGTTCAGACTCATATTTCTTTTCATTTAGCTCTGATATTTTTTTTCTTTTCAAAACTACTTGCTCCTATCTTTTCTCTCACAAAACATTTCAACTGAAATAAAATATGCTATACACACACACACACACCCCTCCACAAACCATCTTTCCTTAGTACAGTGTATAAACATACTTATATATGCGATATCTAAATATATATTTATACATACTATATGTTTATATACATGTATGTATGTATATATGCACATATGCTTATTTGTTCATATATGTTTATATACATATTTACATGTACTTATATAGAGATATGTATTTTTATATACACACACATATATGCATATTTTTTCCTCAAGTCATGTGTTCAGGATCATATCACTTTTAATTTACCTCTGATATTACTAATTTCTTATCTTATTCTAATATAAAAGTTTTAAAACATTATTTTACTTTTTTTTAAACTACCTGCTTCTCTTGTCTTACTCACAAAACATTTCTATTGAAATACATCATGCTATATCCACACCCACACACTGTGGCTATGATTCTTTTCCTTAGTACACTATGTACACATATATAGGTACATATACATATATTTATATGTAAGTGTATATACCTATATATGTCTATACCAAAATTTATTTGTATGTATATATACAGATATATTTATACATTTACACACATATGTATATGTATATATTTTTTCTTTTTTAATTACAAAGATGTGGAGTACAGTTCAGGGTTAGGTATACAAAGGTTGATTATACAGGTACCCTTGTTGATGAGGTGTGCCCCTCCCTCCCCTAGCAGTTTCCCTCAACTGCCAGTCCCACCCCCCTCCCCTGCCAAACCCTTTCTTATAGTATTATAATTGTTCAAGGTCCACTTATGAGTGAGAACATATGGTATTCTGCTATTTGTTTCTGTGATAGATCACTGAGTATGATCGACTCTAAATCCATCCAAGTTGCTGCAAAGTCTATATGTTTGTCCTTCTTTATGGCTGCATAATAGTCCATTGTGTATATGTACCACATTTTTTTATCCAGTCCAGCAACGATGGGCAACATGGTTGCTTCCATGTTTTTGTTATTGTGAATAGAGCTGCAACAAACATATGTGTTCAGGTATCTTTTTCTCAAGTCATGTGTTTAAAAATATTATTTAAAAATTCTACAAATTTGAATTTTCTGAAGCACAATTTAGTTTTACCATAAAAATTTAAAAATAATTATTATAGTATACTACATATTACTGTTTTGTAAGCAGAAATTATAGTTTTATAATTTGGCATGAATAAGCTCAGGGAGATGCAAATGATTCTTAGTCTTTTATTATTATTGATTTTTTTTACTGTCAGTCCAAATATCCTGAAATTGCTTACATGGTATAGATTCATGATTTTCCTCATTGTCACCATTTGAATTTGTTAATCAATTATTGAAAAAGAAAAAAAAAGGAAAAGACATTCTGATTTCCCTACATAAGTACATGAGGGACCATGAAAGAGTAAGACTCTTAGTAGTGTTTCGGATAGAAACAAGGTTTTAGATAGAAACAGTAAGAAGAGGTTTTGTGCATAAAAAAAAGTTTTGACTGAGACCCATCACATAAGGTTAGCTGTGGAATTTTCTACTGGTGGTGTCATGTTGACATCCCAAAATTTCAGATTTTGAAGCATCTTGGATTTTGGACTAGAATGCTCAACCTGTAGTATCATTATTCATGTTTAGTCATGGTGGTTTTATTGGTGAATCTAACGTTTCCTAGTTTTCTAAAGATAAAAACAAATATGGATTACTCCAATATTATACCAGTCCAGTTTACTAAAAAAAAAATTAGAAATATCAGAAAGCCAACCACATTAATATCAAAACGAGCAATATTAGTAAAGATCAAATAAAATGATACTAAGTATTTATGCTTATCAAAATATTATTCAAAAAGTTATGAGGAATGACTTCTGAGTATTTATATAATTTTTATAATATTTCTAGGTGCCACAAGAGTTAACTCAGAAAAGATGCTATTATATTTGACTCACTTTATCATGGTATTTTATATTTAAGTTTCATTTATATATTTCTAAATAGCAGTCTATCCAATGGTGGTTTTAGGAAATTTTTTTAAAAGAAAGAACTGCAGGAAGTTTACAAAGGTACAGTCTGTCTTGGGAAAATTTTTGGACAATTAGAGGGTGAGATTATTTTCTCCTTACTAAGCTTCACATTAATTACTAGGTTCTTTTTACAAGGTACATTCATGCACCACACAACAATATTTTGATCAATGACAGACTGCATATATGACAGTAGTTCCATAAGATTGCAATGTAGCTGAAATATTCCTACTGTCTTGTGATATTGTAGCCATCATAACATCATAGCACAATGCATTACTCATGTGTTTGTGGTGATACTGGTGTAAACCGACCTACTGCACTGCCAGTTGTATAAAAGTACAGCATATGCAATTATGTACAGTACATAAAACTTGGTGATAATATGAGGGAATATGAATAATATGAATATGAATCGTATGAATATGAATAATAAATGACTATGTTACTGGTTTATGCATTTACTATACTATACTTCTATTGTTATTTTAGAGTGTATACCTTATACTTATAAAAAATAAAAGTTAGATCAGGCTCAGTGACTCAGCCTGTAATCCTAGCATTTTGGGAGACTGAGGGTAGTGGATTGCCTGAGCCCACGGTTTTGAGACCAGCCTGGGCAAC